AATGGCATAAAACCTTAAGTTGAAATTTATCTCAATGTTCTGATTACTGTTCCAATTGTGAAAAGTTTTAATTAAAAAAGGGGGGAAGAAAAACATTACATTTTCCTTGAATTGTTGTTGGCTCTTAAGCATAAACTCTGTAGTCATGGTTACCTTTATTGACTGAGGAAACAGTTTTTTTGATCACAGGCATAATGCTTAAATTTTTTTTCCCTTGCATCCTACGCATTCATACCTTATGATTTTAGGCAACATATATTTAAATGATTATACGCACAAAGAAGCAACAGCAATTACAAGTATGAACGAATTTACACAAAGCTTTAGTTTTTTCTCCTATCACTAAAAAAAATAATTAAATACAAAACCCAACAACTCCAAAAGCCTCTGCTTGATAACTCGTTACCAGCTCAATCACCACGCTGTCTGCCTCAGTAACACGCTGGTAGTACCTTAATTTTCGGACTATAAGCCGCACCTGAATATAAGCTGCAGAAGCTAAATTGCATGATTTGTACATATACAAGCACACCGGACTATAAGCCCCAGGTTTTTTGTTTACACACAAACTGTCTTGCGGTCGCAATGTCCGTCTTTCTTGCTGTCGTTCTGTCTCGTACCACTCGCGGTAGAAGTCTGCTTCCGAAGGACCTCCGCATTCCCGCGCGCACGGCTACCATACTTGTGTGTTGAAGCAAATATGATGTCAACATGGTGGATGGTAAAATCCATAGATTTAGGTATTACCCTAGTGGCCGTTAGCTGTAAAAGTCCATAGATAAGCCGCATTGTTATATAACCCGCAAGGTAGAAAAATGGGGAAAAAGTCGCGGCTTATAGTCCAAAAATTACGGTAACTTTCACTAATGCCTAAAGCTAGAGGTAACTTTTTAATTTCAAGATGGCATAAACCTTTAACCTTTATTTAACTTCATAAATGGCACAAAGTGATGCTCCTCCAGATGTGCTGTCATATTAGCTGTATTGCTTTCTATGGCTGCCGCTGTCCAAGCGCCAATAGAGCAACCTTCATCCTGTGGGCCTTTGCCATCCATTCAGTAATGCATGTGGAGCTAGTGGCTACATGGGGAAGTGCTGGGGGAGTTTTTGTGTTGCTGCAGCTCCTCACAACCTGACCTGTCTTTAAGGAAAAAAAACAAAAAAAAAACTTATACTACTAGGACAGTTTTAAGGAAGACTTGAGTGATGTAAAACTACATTGTTGATGCAGAGCTATACCTAGAAACTAGTAACCAGCCCATGCCTACTGTGTCTAAATTAAAGCTTTACCAAAACCAGATCAGAAATGTGCTACAAATTTCTGATCTGTACATTTGTAGTTGGGTGTGCAATTAATTTATTAGATTTATCAAGCGTTTCTTTGTGAAGATTTAATTTTAGAAAAGTTTGGATATTTTTTTCTCTAATTCACTCCATGGCCTCTAAAGCTCAGTGACCGTATAATACCACTAGCTGTAAACTTTTAGTGTGTGATATCTCCAGCGTTTGCTATGAAACATCATCTTACAAGCATGTTTTACAGCTTGAATCTTCTTATTCTTTAAATTAAGGTCACGTTCTAGAGGAGGTAACTGAAGTTGATGCTGGGTTTTGAAAGCAATGCCTGCTATTTGTTACCGGAAACCCACCACTAATTTGTAGTATTCACTCCTGCTTCCAAAGTCTGATGCTTTTGGGGGTTTTTTCTTCTTCCAATGCTTATCCTTACTGCGCTCTTTATTTCAAAGTTTGATAGGGATTCTGGACAGATCCCCTTTATCTTATATGAAAACGTTACTTCTTTCTTGGACAACTTTCACCAGTTGCAGGGCAGATGACTTGATATCAGTTAGTGTGACAGTAAAATGCCTCTGCTAAGACCAGTCCAGTTGGCTTTGTCTTTTTATTCCCTTATCCCCCAGCCCACTCCCCTCTCCCCAGAGGATGCTTGTCAGTTGCTCTTTATTTCTGAGCTGCGAATAAGAAAAAGAAAGCCTCTTTAATGTCCCAGTCTGTAACAACAGAGGGCTGTCAAGCCGATAACCCACTCTTTGTCTCCACAAGGACAATTGGAATACATATTTTTTTAAAGGCTTTTGTCAGGTCTTGAAAGTCTCATAATGAGAACTCTGTCCTTTAGTACAGTCTTTTCATTTAGAAAACCAAAACGCTTCATGAGAAAAAACAGAAAAAAATCAACCCTTTATAAACATTAAGACTTTGAACCAAAATACAGAGTTCAAACTAGCTAATGATTGTAGGAATAATGCAGAAAATGATGGGAAAGGTGGTTGGCTTTCAGGGAAGTAGATTGGTTGGCAAAGCTTGGATCTTGTAGACTAATTACAAACATACACACGAGTTTATTAGCAGAAGAAGTAAATGGACCGAGGCTACACTGAATACACATTAGAGATCAGTTACTTTTTATGTGCAACCTACTTTTCCTTCTGACATCTCCAGTACAGCACAGCAGGCCTAATTGGGTCGTCTCTCATGGTTAGACGAGACAGAGGCGTGAGGCTTCACCTTCACGGGCCACAGTTCGGTTTAGCACATGGAGCTCATGATAATACTTGCTGCTGAGTAAAAGCCTCTGTTTTCCTTACCGTAGCTTTAAAATAGTTGGTCAGGATCATCCCTTTGCTGCAGGCTTGATTCAGACTGGAGTAAATCCATAAAGATGAGATTCCCTCTTCTTTTAACCTTCTGAAATGCCCATTTTGGTTCAAGCTGAATTTTATTAGCATTTATTAGCCTGAGCCTTTCTGACATGTTTTTATCCTTGGTCAAGCTGTATTATGCTTAAATCACTTATTAAGAGAGAAAGTTGATACAAAGCCTGTTTGTAGCTGTTAACTCTTTAGTTTTAAGGAATTAAAAATCAGCCAAACTATTGATCCTACAGGGAAAACTGAAGATTAGAAAGAATGTAGCACCGAGCTGTTGCTGAGCTCCATTCTAATCTCCCCCAGCAAGCTGCAAAATCAGCAGTGACTTAAACTAATCTGAAATGTTATGTTTAATTTGTTACTGGCTGTTTTTGAGCTCACACAGAGCTGAACTATTTTTTCTGTGAGTGTAAACCAGTGAGTCTGTGGGAAATTAACACATTAGGTCTGCTGATGCGCTACACTGAGTTCTCAAAGAATTCAAATCGCTGGCAAATGGAAGGTTTTCCACAACGTTAAATATGTGAAGAAGGAATGTAGAGACTCTAAACCAACCTTTTTAAAAGTTCCCCTGGCAAAAAAAGAAAAGAAAAAGAAAGATATAAAAAAGTCTAAATCTTGTACTTGCATTTTTCATGCCTTGCAGTTATTAAAGTTATTAGGAACAAGGACATTTTTTTAAACTCAACATCTTGGTAGGTTCAAAATGTCTTAAAAAAAATCCAAACTGGGGTTTTCCTTGTAGATTATTTTTTTTAATTATTGTAATGAATAAAATCTGCAGGGGGTGAATTTGTTTTATTTGAATTTTAGTTTAGCACTGCTCCCTCGAGAAGCAACTAAATTGGAGAAGTTGTAAAAGGCTACCAAACTGCTCATTTTCCCTTTTAAAAAAAAAAACTAAACAAATACACAAACTAGGCATCGACTGCCAGCTTTAATTAAATATGCCACTGTGGTACAGTATTTACATAAAAATTTAAAACCTAAAGCATTATCATTTTGCTTTAATAAAAAAAAAAAAAAAAACACAACACAGGCATCCTGATTTCGGCAAAAACATTCCATCACATTAAAATAGAATATTGTTTTGCCTCCAATGAAATGACAACAGGAATTATTTACTTTGCTTTATAGTAAGGATCATGTCATTTTTTTATTCAATAACAATCTTACCTCAGGTTGAGTTTGTTTTGCATTTTAATAAAAATGTGAGGAAAGAACTGTCAATATTGCCACATCTTACCTATATGCACAATATGGAGTTGTATGCGCTTCAAACTTTGAAGCTCTAACTGAATGCCATTCTCTTTTTGCAAGGGTTTACAACCCAGCTCAACCAGGGAAATTGAAAAAGAATAAGACTTTATTCTCTTAATAAAAATGTACTGCCAGTTCTATAGTTGCTATCGGATAACAAATGGAGGGCAGAAAAAAATTGTACAAAATACAAACAGTTGTGGTTTACAAGCTTCTTATGAATAAAATTCAACACATAAGGTTTCTAAAAAATGAAACTGTAAAAGAAAGAAGTTGACAAAAATCTAATAAGGAAACAAATAGTTAGCTAAATTGGAAACAGCTTTCACATTCTGATCATGCTAAACCCCAGACTATATGTCTGAGCCAGCCATCAGGTCCTCAGATGCCTCATGTACTAATAAAACTAAATAAAACAAACACACTTCCAACCTACTACCTGGCATACTACTACTTAGTTTCGAGTTAGAAGCAGCAAGTTAAGGTCAACAGTTTCCCATAAAACCCAAACAAAGATACAAGATGCTCAGTATCAATCCCAGCAGCATACCTTGACAGGTGAGCTGGGTTTAAAATGAAGGGTCTCCTCTGTGAGGGGAGGAGATGAACAGTCCAATCAGGTTGCAGAATGATGTCCGGTAAAAGAAGTCAGGAGAGAGCAGCTAATCCAAAGTGGGGTGCTGCACAGCTGGGTCCAGTAAATCACCAACCTGGAACTGCTCAGCATTATGCAGCCAATATGGCTTCAGGCCATAAAACCCTGCTGCTTCTGACAAGCTCCTGCAAACAGCAACAACTGTGAGATACTGATATCAAGTTTTTTTTTTTTTTACTACATTTTACATGGTGAAAAAAACTTGATTTAAAATATTTTTTATATATATTTGGAGTAAATTCTTCAATATCACACAAGAATCTGTGAGTGTTAAGAGTGTATATTATGTTCTGGATGTCTGAAGGTAACTTTGTCCTATTTTGCACCTCTCTCATGTGAATCCTCTCCTACTCGCCTTCTTTATCACCTGCCATTTTTTTATGTCACTCTAAACTCTGTGTCCCTCCCCTTAGGTATACCCAGGGCTAATGGTGACCGCTGGCCTCATCCACTATGTGCTCAACCTGCTCCATATCACGGTGCACATCCGCGACGTATGTGTATTCCTGGCGCCCGTGTTTAGCGGCCTGACGGCCATCTCCACTTTCCTGCTGACACGGGAGCTGTGGAACCAGGGCGCCGGGCTGCTGGCAGCCTGCTTCATCGCCATCGTTCCAGGCTACATCTCCCGCTCTGTGGCCGGCTCTTTCGACAATGAAGGGATCGCCATCTTTGCCCTGCAGTTCACCTACTACCTCTGGGTATGTGCAATGGAGGTTTCATCTGCAGAAGTATTATTTTTCTAAACATGTAGCTAATTATTAATACTTTTAGTTTGTTTTTGAGATAACTTCATCAGGTTTTTGCTCAGTCTCTGCTACATTTAAACTTCCAATCTCTTATTTTTGAGGAACGGTGTTTGAGTAGACAGGGAAATGGTCCTACTTTCAAGTTTTGCTTGCTTCAGATGTTGAATTATTTATCCACAGCCTTGAAAAGAAAGCTGGCTATCTTTGCAGGCCGTGTGGTTCACAGAATACAACAAGCTGCAGGAGAAAAAAACCTTCACACTTCTTTACAATGAGATGACCTTTCAGAGTACAATCAAACTGGGTTAAGGTGCAGTAGGCCGCTATTTCCAATTAACTTTCCCTCTAAAAAAAAAAACAAGAGGTAGTGCTTTAACCAACAAAACATTTCTTCACTTTCAGATGGTTTTTTTTTTCTTTCTGTAAAATAGTGCATCCTTTTAGTTGCAAAGAAATTATTTATTTTTCTTATCCTTGATCTTAAACGAAAATTTTTTTTCTCTTCCTCCAGCATAAGTTGGCTGTTTACTGAAGCTGCACCAAAACAGCACTCTGCAGCTTTTCAAGATGAAAGACGCTTAAAAAACATTTTTTCCACCCGAGTTTGGACGCCTTTCTAGTTGCATCAGCTGCTGCCTTAAAGCCCTGCAGATATGTTCAAATGAAAGCATCATACATGCATGCGTGAAATTTAAATGCTCAGCAATGCAAACAGTTTGATCAGCCAGCCTCTCCTCCTTGATATTAAACTTGACCTTGTCTATAGCGATTTTATTTTTTTTCTTATTTCTTTTCCTTCTGGATAAGTTTAGTGTTCAGATGTTTACTCGTTTTTATTTATCGCTTTTGAACTGTGCTTAAGCTTCTGCATAGAGCACTTGAAACTATATTAAGCTCGATCTATAAAAACATGCTGCTCCTGGCATAAAATGTACTGTCAAGAATATGAATGTCAACAGAATGAGAGAGCTGTATCAACCCAAAAAAAATAGATATTCAAAACATTTTATGAATAAGAAAAATGATGCACAAATTAGCTATGATTTAAATCATAATGTCTGCAGGGTTTCTGCTTTTAGTGCAGTTTACTAAGAGTTAAATGCTGGAGCAAAGTGGGCACATTTTGGTAAATGGCCTGCACTTCAGGAGACTTGACCAAAGTGCTTCACGCTTGTACTCTGATGGTGGCAAACTACATCGTAGCCACAGCTGCCCTGGGGCTCACAGAAAGAGGCGAGGCTGCCGTACACTGGCGCCAGCAGGCGCTCTGACTCCACCATCAGTAGACAATGCAGGTGAAGTGTTTTGCCCAAGGACACAATGACACTGAGAGCCAGACCCGGGCTCGAACAGACAACCCTCCCATTGTAGGGCAAACTGCACCCGACGCCACTGTTGCTCCTAATTTTGTTGCCGTCTTTAAACCTTTGTGGGCATATTTGTAAAATATTCTCTTCCCATTAAGTCTTAAAAAATCATCCCCCTTATAAATCTCCATAATGTTCCTGATGTTTGAATAAGGACACGCCAAAATACTATGAGCCACTTAACTAGCCCTGCTTAATATTGCTCTGTGGGATTAAATCAAGATATTTTAGCTGAAAACTAATTTATCTTTGCAGATTTATTTCTAACAGCTGCTGAAAAGCCAGCTGCCTTACCTTCAGAGCCTGCCAAATAGTTGAACACTGTATAAATCTAGCCAAGTATAGGAAAATATACCACAGAAAATTTTCAGACTTATTTCATTATCTTATGTTTTTTTTTTAATTATTTAAAAAAGCAATTTTAACATTGATTTATGATTAAATGAGTTTTATTCTGCTGAAGTTTCTCCTCCAATATCAAACTCAAAACTTCCTCAATTTCAATTGACTTCTGCCTCTAAACTCTTACCTCTGCTCAAGTTTAAAAAGATACTTAAACAGTTTAGTTTGAATAGTGAGCATTTCTTTGTGTTTTTTTTCAATTTTAATAAACATGAAACAGTTGGACATATCTAACAGTGCTTAAAATAATATTAAATCTGTATGGATCATTAATAAACATCAGTTGAACAGCAGGTATGCCAGAATCTTTAAGACTCTTAAAATAACTGCAATGTATTTGGCTGGATTTGATTTTGAAGTTAAAATATTTCATTAAAATGCCATATTTATTTCTTAAAATCTCTAAAGGTGTTCAGATAGTAATTTCCGTCATGCCACTCTGATGCGGAATAGCATTGGCCTCCAGCCTTGGAAAAAAGCCTGATTAGTTGCTGCAGTCCTGATTATTTCTATTCAACCTTGGTTCAGTTAGCAAACTGTAAAAGAGCTTTTGTTTAACACGGCAGAGGCGGGTTTCAATTTTTAATGGAAGATCAGAGGGTGTTTGTCCAATTTTATTTTACCTTTGAGGCATCGATTTTAATCTGTATTTGAGTGAAAACAGGCCGTGACTCTCATCCAGGTAGAGGGTTCAGGGTGGCCTCGCTGCTGCTTGTCCAACTGTATGAACACCATTAGGCTAAACAGGAGTTTAATATACAGGCTCCAACACTGTCTGGACAAGTCTGGCATTTTATTTCAGTATTTTCCAATAATGAACATTTCTTCCAGACTACTCTATCACTCTGTCTAAATGGTTTATTTCCTTCCTTGCTTCCTTCTGTCCTTCCTTCCTTTTTTAGTTTCTCTATTCCTTGAGTCCTTCCTTCTTTGTTCCTCATTTCCTTGCTTCCTCATAGGCTTCTTCTAACCGTTTTTTCTTCCTCCTTGCACTTCCCCTTTCCTCCATGTCCTTTGGTCTTCCCCTTCTTGTAACCTTACTTTTCTATCCTTATGTCCGTTTTCTGTTATCCCTTCCACCTTTTCTCCTCTTTTCCTTGTTATTTCCTCAAGTTTTCCATTTGTTTCATGAGTCCTACCATGCTTCCTTCTTTTCCTTTGTCCTTCTCGTTTCCTGTGTCTTCCTTAATATCTATCTTCTTTCTGTCCTTCTTTCCTTCCATTGATTTGTAAAGCTTTCCAGTCTTTATACTCTTAGGCTGATTGATACTCAGAAACCAGGTTGTCTGCGGGTGTGTCGCAGGGAACGCAAATGTGCCTCTGCCGCATCCACAGACACTCTGCTGCACCTCCACAAAACACACTATGCGTATTTCTTGTTTGGTATCTTACTGGTTTGTTTGGTTTGTATGACCGCCATTGTGGAAAACGACTCGTGAAAATGGACCAGCTAGAAAAGCGGCATGCACTAGAACGCTGGGACCCTTTTTCCACCTGGATCCCCGCCCTTTTTCACCCCGTTGTCGCACAAACTTGCAGCCACTTCCTCACCGCCTCAGTCATATTTAGATCCACAGCTAGTTCGTGTTGTGGCGTGGAATAAAATAGTGCAGGCAACGCTCAATAATGGGCATAAATCAAAAATATTTGCAACAAGCTCACTGCGACACACTGCTGCATTAGTATACCCAGCCCTTTAGTCTTCGCGACACAAAGAAATAAGTTACACAAAGATAAAAGTTAATCTTTCAGGTTTAATATTTTGAAATAAATCTTAATGAATGAGAGGTTAAAAATAGTTAAAACATCTCTGTATCCTTACCCATGTTAGTTCCTACCCCTTTAAGCCATTTATCAGCAAATGACTGCGAGGGGTTTTATGGTCATATGACTTGTTGCTTTTTAAGGCAGCTTTGTGTCTTATCTGATTCGAAGCTGCAGTTTATTGACCAGCTCTTGGAGCTTGTTTCTACATTTCTGGCCTCACGACAAACCCTGCTTGTGCTCTGACTCAGCAATCTAACCACATTGATAGTTCCGTTCTTTAACTTAGATCCTCAAACACACTGTGCACATGTTTGCCAAATGCCTGCTTCAAAAATATGCATCCTCTATGTGGGCTCTTACATGTGCATGTCAAACCGTTCATATGGCAGACAGGGACAGGATGTCAAACACACAATTTTGATGTTTTGCCTCTATAGGAGAAGACAACTTCTCCTATAGAGTCATGTTCAGATATTAAAATATGGCAGATGACTTAACAGATGAACAGGTGGTGGTGCAACTTTCAGCTTAGTTTTTATGAAATTCAACCTTTAGGCATCAAAGAAAATAGCCAAACGATTTACAATGAACAAAAGGAATTTTTTTCCCTTTTAACTGATTTCAATGATTGTTATGAATAATAACAGGGAAACAAATGATCTCTTACTTTTCTGCAGAAGTGACCATTTTAAAACCAATAAAAAAATATGGAGTTCATGCCATTAATTTTCTTGCATCTTAAGCCAGCTTTGGGTTGTCATTGCTAAAACGGCAGCTTCCCTTTTTATTCCCTACAGTAGAAAATAACGAGCCTGTTCTGAACTTTGATATTTTCCAAAATACTGCCAACTTTTCCAAAGCTCAAGGATATAAAACGCAGCCTTTCTGCAGAAAGTCTTCCTCTTTAACTCTGCCTGATTGATCCACCTGTCTTTTTTGCCTTTTGCTCAGTTTTAAGCCGTTAGTCCCTCTATAAACACCTGTTTGGTTTCAGCTCAGTACTGTATTGTGACAGGCTGGCCTGCACTTGACCCTTGTTGGCACAGCTGGATTGACTTTAGCCCGTGTCCATAATGAGAATCCCCCCAGCTTCCTTTACAGCTGCTGGATAGGAGCCAATTCTTTGAAAAGTGTGCTTGTCACAGTGGTGACTTCTGGAAAATGGAACACTTCAACATTGGAGAAATCATTTCAAGTTTAAGGACAAAGAATAAAAATGCTGTGCGCTTCCACAAAAAGGACTTTATAGTTACACCAGTGCCTTACATAAACACCACAGACGGCCCATTCTGGATTTAGAACGCTTTCCCAGGCAAAATGTTACTGATGTGAGTGTTAAATTAGAGAGGAGCATGCATTTTAAAAAGAAAGAATCAGAAAAGGGCCATGCATCAAACGGCAGACAGAAACCTGGCAGCCTAACCGCAAACATGAGAAAAAGGAACCATACACAGCCTGCAAAAGATCACACCACTCAGACTTGTTCACACTTTGCTGTGTATGATATGGATGCATGAGTGTGTTTGTGTGCCATTGGAAGAATTGGATTCCAGGTCAGTTTGACCAGAAAAGTATAAACGTTCAGTTCATTCACCTTTTAGAAATACACAAGGAAAATTAATACAGAGGGTCATATATTTATTAAAATATATATGTGTAAAAAAACATTTATATCCTCTTTGTTCCCCTTTACACTTTGTGTACTGCTTTGTGTTGGTATTGCATAACTGAAGAAAAGTTCAAGAGATTTTAGTTCTATTGCCAGGCTTTGTTAAAATTAAGATTGAAAAGGAAAGGCAAGGAAAGTGGGAAACAGAACAGAGTTTAGTTGAGATGAATTGAGCTGCACAGACTGCAGAGTCGGCAGAAAACTGAGCAGAGGGCTGCAGCTGATTGAATTTTGGAAGAATTTAGCTGCAGCTTCGTTCTGACTTTTTTAACCACATCATGACAGAACCCGTCCGTTGTCTTATAAAGTGCAGTTATGCTGTTAGTATAAATGTAACGTTGGAAAATTCAATGGCAGCAGACCAGGGCCGTAACTTTTTAACCTTTAGAGACGACTCCTAAACATCTGCCCCGACGGTGTCCCCCCCTCAGCTTATGTGTGGAAGAGGTAGTAGAAGACACGTGTTTGTTTCTGCTTCATCATAATGGCTTCTTGTCATCTCACGTGGTGGGATTATATATCTCCGAGTGAGGCAGGTGTTCCTCGCGGCAGCCATCACGCCTCTTAAGGTGGCATGTCATGAGCGGAGCGGCGCCATCAAAAAGAATCACGCTGCACTCATCTTACCCCCATTCACATCTTCCCTTCAATTTGGTGAGAGCCTTGGAAAACAATCATCCTGGCCATGCACCAGTGCTTCCCATTATCAGTCTCATTTACCCACATTTGTCTCCTCTCCATCCTTCTCTTGAATTGTCTAGCTTTAATTGTCTTTGTCGTCCTCTGTCTTTGTCTTTATCAAGCTTTGTTTCATCTTCCTGGTTTTTCCTAACTTACCTTCTCTTTCTGTATTTTTCATTTTTATCACTCATTAATTTCTTTCCTTAGAATGGCATAAACAGCGTCTTTCTCTCCGGTGTCAGGCCAATCAGCATTATCAGACTTTCATTTTAAGCACCAAAAGAAACCCATTCAGCTCTATTCTCTTAAACTCAATGTTTATCCCCCCTACAAACCCCAAACCAAAAAGTGAACACATCCAACCATAATCTATAATTGAATCCACTCACACAGAGGACAGCCATGCCTTTTCGTCTGCATAAGAACAACAGTCGCCCAGCACACAGTTGCACAGCATCTCCCCCCCATCTTTTTTAACCCTGCACACCATGGCTGCATTGTTGTCCAGTAATTCCACTCTTTCTCTTCGCTCATATTTAATTAGCTGCTCTGGTACCACACTGAGAGACTTGTGAGGCTATACAGAGGCAGCGGCCCTGAGGGGGCAGCCACAAGTTGAACACTAGGCTGCATGGGGCTCAGCTTCTGTAGTTGGGATGTTGTTGGGTTGCCTGTGTCGTCGTCGTCGTTGTCTGCCCCACAGGTTTCCTCCAACATTTGGAAAACTCTGGAATTTAGATAAAGGGTTTTCTCGATCAGGATAAGAACATAAAAGTCTTTTATCTTAATCTCCCTATATCCCTTATAGACACAATGTTATAAACCCTTCTAAGTAACATTATGCCCATCCATAAAATGAGCCTGAGTTGGACCAAGGTCTTCTAAAGTAATCTGGACTTTTATTAAAGAAAATGTTGGATTGCTGCTTTTAAAAGAGTGAAGAATCCACATTTATGGGCCAGGGTTTTTTGTGCTTAGCGTTTTTTTATTAAGCAAACCACTTCAAGGGCTCAACTGGAGCAAGTGCTTTGTTAGTACCATACTTCTGTTTTCACATTTTTTTCAGGTTCTCTGCTATTTTCCTTCTATGTTCCATCTTTCTCTGTCCTTACCCCCCCCCCCCCCCAATACATAAAAAAGGGAAAATTAGTCTGATAAATTAATTGTATCCTCAGTTTGCCATTGTATGAGGTTATGTGGGTATCGATAAATACATTCTTACAGGAAGAAAGTTGTAAATAAAGCTTATATAAAAGACCAGTAAATGTGGTGAATCTTTAGCTTGTTAAAACGGACGGTTCAATAAACAGTTAAATTATTGCTTTTGTCTTTGGGAACCCCAGTCGGCCTCAGCAGATGACCACTTACAGTGCTGGAGGTTCTTAATGTTAAAAGGGAGTTTTTCCTCTCCACTGTTGCTACAAGCATGCCTGAAGTGAGGTTTAACCATTCAAGTAAATGAATCAATGCAATCAACTAGTTTTCCTTAGAAAACTTTGAATCAGGTTGACTGTATGATCTGGTGAACTGTAAAGTGCCTTGAGATGACGTGTTGTGAATTGGTGCTTTATAAATAAACTGAACTGAATTGAAATATTGTCATTCCCCATAAGAATGACCTCACAGATGGTGGCTATTCATTTTAGATCCAAATAGCTGTTTATTTATTGTTTAAATCACATTTATATTTGTTTTAATGGGTAGTCTTCTTTAGTTAACCTCATACAAAGAGTAAATGAGATTAAATGCAGTTGGACTGGAAAACAAAAGGAGACGAGAAAAACTGCCTTGTTGATTGCATTTTTTGATTTTTTTTTTGCGTGTGTCTGTGTGTTAATGTTCAAGCTTTCCTTTTACACATGAAGTGGGGCAGTGGGTTTCAAAGCCATGGTCTGACAGTGCAATATGCCCAAAGGTAGATGGTCAGAGCTGGTTATTAGTCACATCTAAAAACAGGCATTGTGGTCCAAGTTCTGAAATAAGCTAAATACAGTTCTTCCTACAGCCTGGCAGCGAGAACTATTCAGTTAATTACAGACACAGCTTCCTAGTCAGGCAGAAGGAGATTTATTCACTTTTATCTGTTTCTGTTATTAATTACTACTAAAATCAAATGGTAATACTACATTTATTTATAAAGACAAACTGATCAATGGTTAAATGCATGGTAGAATACTAAAAGAGACCAATAAGTACAGACTAATAAATGAATAACTGATGAAAAACTAAACAAGTTGATAAAGATTAAATCAAGACTGATTTTAAAATAAGAAGTGAAATTGGCTTAAAGTGAAATGGGAAATGCAATTTAAGAAAATAAATAAATACAAAATAAACAAGCCTCTGAATAATTTTCTTAGTGCATGTTTGCAATGAATTGCAGCTCTATTTCAGCCATTTTTCTCTTCCAAGGAGAGAAAAAAAAAACCCTTTCTCCTAACTGGGGCTTTAACTGCGTTGTCATGTCAACCCATATAAAGCTACGAGGCTCCAATTCTCTCATTTCCTCCTACAAGCAAATTCCTTGTTGGCAAGAAGTCAGACTATCGTCTTCTGGCCTGTTCCTTTCTTTTTCGGGATATTCTGACCTGCACTAGCTATATAAAGCACCACTGCTGTTTGTAGCTTATTGATCCAGGGGTGTGTGTCGGGATATTTTGTGGACCGAGACCACCTTTGTCCAACAAGCATCGATTCCTTTTTAGTTTAAGTAAATGAGCTTTGCTGAATGTAATCAAGCTCTTTGACACCTCTCACCTACTTAACCAATCACTATTGTATTATCTAAATGTAAAGGAATGTCATTAAGGGTTTTTAATTGTGAACTAGGTTTGTTGTTTTTATCAGTTTCTATTTCAGTGTTTTCAGGTCTACAGATCGGCCAAGTTTAACCCACTGTTCTGCAACAGAAACACTGTTTTATGTTCATGATCAACATGTTATGATAAAATTTTCAAAAGGCTTTCTGTTATATATTGAATATGAATTAATGTAATTGATGCGAGATAGTGCTGTATCATTTATAAAATTATAAAAAAGTCTAAGCCTTCTGCTAGTCTGGTGTTATCTGCTCTAAATCAGAAAAGAAAAAACAAATCAGAAGCTTTATTGCCAAGTAGTGTTTTACGCATATGAGGAATTTGCCTTGATAAAGCGCAGCACATAAATAGACATACTGTTGACAAAATTGATTTTGAAATGAATAATTTGGAATAAACAAGTTGTATAGAATAGTATAAATAATAATTAGCAAGGGGAAGGTCTCTTTAGAGGCCCTGGTTTTGTTAATGAGGGTAGCTGCAGTCGGGAAGAAGCTGGTTTTGCAGTGATAGGTTTTGGTCCTGATGGACAGCAGCCTCCTACGGATCTCTTATTGTTGGACATTAGAGCATTTTACACACAGACCAATGACTTCTCTCCTCTACTCCTCTTTTAGGTGAAATCTGTGAAGACTGGCTCAGTGTTCTGGACCATTGGCTGCTGTCTTTCCTACTTCTACATGGTAAGGGCTGGTAATTGGAGACCTGAATTATACATGTTACATACTGTGTTTTTTTTCCCATGTGATGAAGAAATGTGATGGTTAAAGAAATTCAACAAAGTTAACAACAATCATGTGCAGCTGTGCTTATTTTTATATTTGCTGATCTGACGTTAGCATTCAGGTTTTTATTGTGTTTAGATCTAATCAGCCAGACCTCATTCAGAAGAACCCTGGAACCAAACGTTTGCCTCGTTTAAAGAAGAAATTCAGACTCTGCTCATAGACCAGTTGAAGTTGCCTCAATGGCTTCTATTCAGACCTTCTCACTATCGCCCATTTAGGAGCAAAGGATGGTCTAAAGGACCTATCCAACTTCCAGGATGTGTGATTCACAGAAAACCTCGTCTTTATGTCATCTAATGCAGCAGCAGCTACACAGAATCTCTCCAATCAGCTCCGTCAGGGAATCTTTAGCCGACCTTTTATCTGTATTTATAGCCGAGTTGTTTCGTGATTGATGTTTGTACTGACTCTTATATCTCAGACAGAAGAGTCGGGGTGATGTTCCAACAGTTGTATTGAGTTTCACCTGTCTGATATTTTAAACGGGTTTTAATCAAATTCAAGAAAATCAATAATTCAGCTGTGATCTTAAGTCACTTTACCTTTCTGCCTTTAATGTTTATCCAATTTAGTGTGTTATAATCTCTACTGAGTTAGTTTTTTTCTCAATTATTCCATCTATTGGCTGATGCAGCACAGATTTTTATTTCTTCAGCAATCGTGAAGTGTGCCTACACCAAGCATCAGGAGGGAAGTGGCTTTTGATAGAAAGCTAGAGCTGCATATTTCCTGTTATTTCCGTGTGTCATCAGGTCATTGATGAGGGCTGGAGGATATTGGGAAATCATGCAAATGAAATAACTTTGAGCATTTTGACTATCATCTGTGGACTAAACGGCTAACTGTGAAAGTCGTCTTCCTGAAAATATGACGGACATACCAAGCGGGAAGTCATGGCTTTTTCAATGCAGCAGCCAACAAATCACTGAATTTAGTTTTCCATAAAATGACTTTTTCATCTCAGATTTATGAAAAACGTATGAAGCTGAACAAAAAGTAGAAAATGAAACTACAGTATATATAATTTATTATCATATACTGTATTTATGCTGTGCTGAAAATGTATAATTTATATCAGACTTTTTTTTGCCACTTGTAATGCAAAATAGTCGAATTTTGCCTTCTTTTTTGTAAGTTATAGATGAAATAAGCAATATATTCATGAAAAAACAAAATGACTTGTATTTTTGTAGAAAAGAGCAAATCATTGTTGCAGGGCTGTGCAATATGGTGGAGAATTTATTGATAATTATTGATTAGCTTTTTTTAAAGAGATCCGCACTACCACCTACCGTTCTTGATTTGGGAATGAGAAACTAAATCCGTATTTAGTACTTGCATCTCCTAGAATTGGGTGTCTACTGTGATGCATATCATGGTTATTATATTGCCCAGCTGGAAACTAAAGTTAGAAAAAAGGCTCTGATATTTTCTTGATTAAATAAATGTGTATTTTCTTAACTTTTCAGGTTAAATGCTGCAAAACTAAGTCACTTTTTGCAAGCTCTTGCTAAATTTGATTTTAAATTCTGTTTATAGGAGTAAAAAAAGTCTATTTTTAATCCTACTTGGTATGAAATATAAAGATACATTTAAGAGATGGCTTATTAAAGAGATACACTTTGTCTTGTACCAACATTTTTCATTTGAAAATACATAAAAAATTCTGATGCACCCGAACCAATGCAGGAAAACTCTTTGCCTTATTTTCTCTGCATACACACCTCCTACGCTCTACCTTCCCCTAACGACCTCTCCAACCATGTCTTAATAACCTGTAGTAAAGTCTCTCTCCTCTTTTGCAATTTCATGGGAATCTGTGACAGTTGTTTTGTAGGTGTAGTCGGTGCTTGGCTGCATTATTTATCAATTCAGACAGACTCCCTTTGGGGGGTTGATGAGAGATGAGATAAAAGACAGTTCAGACACTGTGCCTCAGCGACAGATTGTTTGCATGGGCGCCTATGAAAATCTCCTGCGTCTCCTTCATTCAAAGCTAAAGCTATTTGGCCAGTAGCGAGACAGATGTCAAATCCAGCAGATTACTGAAATCCAGCTTCATCGATCACACTGCAGCGGGGGGACCGAATCGACGAGAGATTACAGGGAGAGGATTGGGGTGAGAGATGAATAGAATGGCAGACAAAACAGAGGGGGTACATAATGGTGCACAGAGAGAGGTGGTAAAAGATAAGGAGGAGGACAAAGAGGACAGAGAGGAAAGGAAAACAAAAAGATAAGACCTGACTTCATTGTCCTAGTCAGCAGCAGTGAAAACATTTAGCCTTTCTTCCTGCTATGATCCTCTTTTCTTCACACCCACACCTTCCTCTTTGTCCGAAGTGATCAGATGTTCCCCTCTAGACAAGTCCACCTGCAAAGAGCAATAAACCAAGCTTGGATGTCTCCATTAATAACTCTGGCATTATCTGCACTGCGAGCACAGTGTCTGGCATGGCAGACGGTAGTGGAGACACTGTAGATTGTTTCCACCACATTATTTGATCAGGATACAGTCAAGGTTAGATAGCCCAGTGATGCTTAATTGAATGTGACAGCCTCATTAAGGAAATACAAAAATGGAAAGGAAAGGATCTTTTATTTCTTTATGTTGGATGAGTCAAAGGAGAAATGACAGAGGTGGTTAAGATCAAGAGAAGGATGGAAGTGGTTCAAAGCTCAGATGAACAGAAAAGCTCAGAACATAGTTGGAAGCTACACATCATCATCTGAGGCGGAAGCCATGAGGCAAAGCTGGACTGTTGATTACCAAATTCCAATTCCCTAAACCCTTCAGCGTTCTCTAATAAAGTAACCTGTAATGTCAGTGCGTGTCAAAAGCCCTTTGGCTCAATCAAATGCTTATTAAATGCTCTGAACACCGGGCTCCTTAGGCGCCTGCTCTTAAGACTGTCATTTAGCCAGACTGAAAAGTCTTACTGAAGCATGACTGGAGAGAAAGAGATACCCGTTCATCCATGATTGGCTTTTGAAGTTTCTTAACCTCTCAAAACCCACCCGCTCGCCGGTGACTACTTTTATAGTGTTTACAACTAATAACTCAGAATGCATTGAAATTACAACTTTAACATTTTTACCAATATAGACATGTTAGACATTGTTGGAAAGCTTAGATTCTCCACAATTCAACCACCAAGTTCATTTCATGGACATAGCAAGCACCAAAGCACAATTAACACATATATAGCAGCATGTCAAAATGTAAACATTCCAAACCAGCCACAACAACATACCTTTGAAGGCATCCAGAAGCTGTTTTATAAATCCAGCCTTCAGAGGTTTATATTTAATTTGTCCATAAGGGTCCACAGATTAAAAGTAATCGTTAATATTCATAATAAAAAATTTTCCATGATGATAAAATCGCCACTTAACGTCTGGTTTTTGACACCAGAAAAGTTAGCTGGTCATAGCTAATCCTTAGCATCTTGCTAATAAGACTTACTTCCTCATTTGTTATAAGGGTGTGCAAAATAATCGTCATGACAATGCATCACGATTCTAATTTTTGTGATCTACTGCATCGATTCTTGAAGGCAAGAATCGATTATAAAAAAGAAAAAAAAGGAACAAAAAAAAAATACCGTATTTTCACGACCATAAGGCGCAC